GACTACTACACTTACTGTTTAACTATTTTGGGTTACTTAATGTTACTTCATGTTAAGGACTAATAAAAAATGACATAGGCTGTAATGCTAACTAACGTGCTAGCTACTAGCTAGGTAGCTAACTTGATCCAGCCACTCCTGGTCCTTTCATCAGACGGGAAGCGAAAGAATGAGCAAGACCCATTGCTGGTATGATAACAACCTGGTACTAAGCACACAGGCATTTTGATAAAGTTATCTTATCTTAGCCAGCGCCATATATATAGATGCTATCTATATGGCGCTGATCTTAGCTATCTCTTAGTGGAGGAAAACAGTTATGACATCACTTACGCAAATCTGGGATTTGTAGTCTTTCTAGTTGCGTATTTTTCATAGTCTTATATTTCAACAGTTTTACGACAAACTGTGACTTTTTTTACATGGAAATGAAAGATAAGTTTTCTCTCTTCATTGACTTCAATGCATCATTTTCCGAAAAAAGGTCCCATGGACCGGAAGTAGATGGGCGTGACTTCGCCACTCTATTTAAAACTGTCTTTGCATGGGCTGATTCTGTGAGAACAGCACCATCTACAGGCCTGGCATATGTACTACAGCGTCTCCAGCGCTTTCGAACGGCAATGTCCGTGGCTGTCTCCTCCTGATTGGTGGAGTTGGCTCAATAGCCGTAGCGCCACTTCTGTGACGTCATAGAAGTGTTCAAATCTGGATCAGTCTGTATCAGATCCGTTGCAGCCCCTTTTTAAAAGATTTGGGTATGGAGGAAAATAGAGAGGGTTGTGTTTTCTGACACTTGGTGAGTTCCCTGGAACACCGGGGACACACATTCATGTGTAAAAGACGCACAACAGTGCATTTTGCATGATAGGTCACCTTTAAGCTGTCTGTGGCTCTTTCCTGCTGTAACGATGAAAATATCCCCTCTGTGGGACTAATAAAGGTATTCTGATTCTGATTAATATAGTATTCATCCATGCTTTGATTATATGCGCGAGTGTTTTGTAATAAAAAATATATGTGAAAATAAATTCTAAAAATGTATTAAAATGACAAGCACATGTGTGTCCTCAATACACCAGAAAATACCTTTATTTGGCTTTAAGCTGCTTCAGTATTTACGGTAAATTAAGTATTTTGAAACATCCCTGAAGCCTAATTGTGACAAAAATGTGTTAACCCTAACCCTTTATTAAAAGGAAACCATGGGAAGTTTGACAGGAAAGGGTCACTACAAGTTATAGTACATGAAGTGGCTCTTATTTATGGCCTCTTACTGAATGTGCAACAACAAAGTTTTAGCATATGATAAAGTAAAAAAAGACTTGGATGTTTGATCACAGTGACTCATGGGTCACAGTGACCCATGGGTCACTGTGACTTGCTACTGTTAAAGTCTGGAAATGATAAGATAGTAAAGTCAGGACTGACCTCCTTTTCTTCCACATACTGTACATCTTCCAAAAGCATTACAATGAGAAATTAAGTGCTAGTTTGTTTATTTCTATACGTGTTATATATTATTCCACATACTTTGCATTAGGGCTGCTCGATTATGGCAAAAATCATAATCTCGGTTATTTGGGTCAATAATTGATATCACGATTATTAAAAACGATTATCCATTTACTTTGAAAGTTTCCATTTATTTAAAAAAAAATGTGAACAGTATGTTTTTAACAGTTGATTACCCTGAACTTTAAGCATAATTCAACTGAATTTTTTTTTTCTTTTTATAAATAATCGTTTTATTTCGATTATGTTGTTTTCATAATCGTTGCAGGCCAAAATCGTAATTGTGATTAAAATGCCCTACTTTGCATATTCTTTAAAGAAGTGTCAGTTAAAATGAAAACTTGGCGTATTATGTAGAATGTGGGGGGAGCCTTCTTTAATCCTTTTGTGTTTTCCTTTTAGATATAATCGCTTTGAATACAAATAGTAATGATTGTCACAAATATTCCATAACACTTTTTCCAAACTTTCCCATAATAAAAAAACAGCCGGGGGTTGTTACTGGCACAGCAAGTAGTAAACAACTATCCTGCACATACTATGAATCATGATGTTTACAAGACATAGTGACTGGAAATGATCCCAGAAGCACCTTTTACAGCTTTTGGTACATTCTGCAATACACTATTGATAACAAGTGGTTTAAAGCTTTCCAGTTAGAGCACATGTCATCAAATGTTGCAATATACCACACGTGAGGACACATGTTTGGTTAAAGGCTGATATGGTTAGAGGAATGGCAATGCACGAGTGTATGCACTAATATAGGCACTTTGTCTCTAAGCCATTTATTTGTTTTTACTTCAACTACACTTTTACAATGTACACATATGTTCACTGTCAATGAATCTGCTAATTATTTAAATCAGTTGTTCGATTTCACTTGGTCCACTCCATGTCAAAAATGTGTGAAAGATGAAAATGTCCAGCAGACACAGTTAGCAATATAAAGTCCGAATCACTTAATTCATAAAGTTGAATGAAACAAATTATCAAAATGTTAAATATTAAGTCTTTGTTGATTACATTTATTAATATATAATTTAAGATGTACAACTAGTTGTCACGTTTTGCTTAACATACTAATATTAAGCAACACATTTTTGTTTAGATAACTCGACAGTTTGAACACTATTATACGTTACTCATTTATAAGTGAGGTAACCATAGCAACATCGCTAGGTTCCATGTTATACTGAAGCTATCAACCTAAACCGTACTTAAATAATGTGAAAACGGTCATTGCACTGAAGTCGATAATATTCGCCGAAAAACAATAATACACTTGGAAGTAGGCTAAGTTGCCTTGTACGTCCAACATCCCGCCCACTTCTGTAAAGCTACCTCGTATGACCTAGATATAGAATATTGTGGGATATATAAATAGAATATTGATATAGCTACCCTCTTGACCTACCTGGTTAGATTTTCTATCTCTGAAGGTATGCTTTTCAGTCTGTTTCCGCCGAGGGAAAGCGACTGCAGACGGACCAGCTTCATACACTGAAGTGGTATCTCCTCGAATCTATTCCCACTAAAGTTCAACACTTCCAGCTGCAGAGAGCCGAACTCTTTGGGCAGCGAGAACTCGTCCAGTCGGTTGTTCTTGGCTATCAGCTGCCTCAGCCTGGGCAGCCGTGTTATCCCCTCACAGATGGCCGACAGCCCGTTGTTGCTGATGTCCAAAAACTCGAGGTTGCAGAAAAGGCTGACCGACGAGGGCAGCGAGGCTAACCGATTGTAGTTCAGGTAGAGCTGTTTTGTGTCCTTCTTCCTCTCGTCGCTAACACTGTCGACGGAGAAAGTGTCCAGGCTCAAACGGGAGTAGTCCAGCACGTTGTCGCCTACTGCTGCAGCTGCCCCTTCGCGAATCTCCATTTTGGTAGTTTTAGCGTGAATTTAAACTCAGAACAAATTCCTTGCAGAAATTGTTGCTTTAGGCTGAACGCCCCCGTAAACCGCGAGTTAGCTCCAGGATTTGTTGTCTGTTTTGGACCTCAAGAATGGGAAGATTTCTACACAGCCACTCGTAGAAACCTAACCACATCACAAGAGGGAAATCTAGGTCACTACTTTTGTACTGAGGACACGCTACTGTAGCTACATGATCCAACATTGAATGTGGTGTTGCTCTCCTACAGTGCAGCCGTTCTTTGACATAATCGTTTACGTCCATGTTTAGACATTGGCTAATACTTGACACTGACCCCGCCCACGCACCCGTTGATTGGTTAGTCTCCCAGTCTGTCATATATCAGAAGTACTAATCAAGAGATTTGTAGCAGGTTTATATGGGCACCGTTTATTGATATTTTTATAGCCGTACAACAACACGTTGCTGTGTGTAATTGCTTAATTTTCTCAGTCTAGTTACAACAGAAGATTGATGGCCGATGATCCATCATGCCAACTGTCCAGCCTTGTCTGCCATTATGCAACACCCCTCTTTTATTGCATTATGCAATAGGCTACTCACGCTGACTTGGGTGTGCATAGAATGTGAATATGGTACAGGATAATCGGGTTGCTCCTACTGTATTCAGATCTATCCACATGCCTGTCACTGCCGTTCATTTTATAGCTTGCTATATGATGAGAATTAGGGCACATTCAAGTTGTGTACAGTTTTGAGAAACTGTTAATGGCTGCTGTAGTTAGTTAACACACATTTAGAATCAAAATATAAATGATAAGATAAAATGCACAAGATGTTCAAGCGTCCAAATGTGGAAATGTTTTCACATGGACCAGCTAAAATACAGGGATGTTTAAGCCTAAAAGTGCACTTGGCCCTCATATTACCTTTACAATGTACTATAATAAGAGTATGAATGTAAAGTTATGCAAGTGCTTCACAGAACATTACCAAAGACAAGAGCAAGAAATGACAGAGAAAATGGCTATTAAGAAAAGCAAGGGAAGAATAACTAAGTTTTGGAAAATATATGTGTGAGAGAAACTGTCTGGTTGATAGGTAATAACAACAATTTGGGATTTTAAAATACTCAGGCAGTCAAATGAGAGTCTACAAGGGAAGTAATGTGTTCCTAATGTATTTGTTATAGGAATAACAGGATGAGGGGGAACTTCCTCTTTCACTTCAGTATTTTGAAATTGTAATTTGGTAAAAACACATACAAAGGGACAAAGCTATGCTATGGTGTATTGGGCTTTATTGGCATACATACATAATCCTTACAGTCTCTGCACCCTTAGTGGAATATAAAGATTTAGCTTGAACCTAATAATACAACTTTCACACAGACATTTATCAAGGATGGAGTCACAAAGCACTGTTTAACTGCTTAACTTCAGCAAAGCACACTCAGGAACACCTATGTTCAGGCAAAGGTAGAAACCATACTTTTTGCAGGTCTAAGGCACTGGTTTTATTGTCAATCCTTCCAATTTAGATACAGGATTTTAACAAATACACATTTTACAAACCAAACTAGTCTCAGCATCACACTTCGTTAGCACACAACCACACAATCACACACACACAATTCATATTCACCCGGTTATTGATGCGTCTACGCTACTATAGCTGAGGCTAGTCCTTCTGTTAGTGATTTTGAAAGCACAGGTATAGCGTTGTTGCTGGGTCCAGAGTAATGTTTTACCTGGAGATGTTTTTACATTATTCAAACATTTCATAAAAACTTTGGTTTTACTTTTCATCATGCTATATTCAAAGATCAGGTCTCACCTTGGTGCAGTTGCTCCACAGTGACAGCTGGACCACTACGTCTTTGTCTCTCAAGACACAGACAGACATGTTTAACCAAAAACCACCAGAGAGACTTGCCTGAGCATAACATGGGAACAACAGTTCCAACTCAAGCTGATAAAACATCGTACATAAACTTGAGCTAAACTAAAGCATAAGAAAGCTAGAAAGGAAAGAAAGAGAAGTGCATTCGTCAAGTAGTGGCCTACTGTGGCAGTTCTATATGGCAACAAAATCAAAATCACTAGTAACTTTACCCACTTGTCCCATCTTCCTGAACCAAGATGCTGATCGTAAAACCTGCGAGGGAGGGGAGAACAATTCTGCAAGTAGTCAGATCTCCAACAGCTCCCGCATTTCAACAGATTAACTCCTAGATCCTTTCAACACTACTTTCTCAAAAAACGACTCCCAAACAGTGAGAACTTGACATGTTTTTTTTTCATAATAACTGTAAAAATATAAGGATTGTAGTAAAAAAATAGCCCCAGCGCTAGTGTAGAGGCAATACCACAATCAAATATGACAGTACTGAACACAGGGGAATCCTATAATACTCTTGCCCCTGAATCTAACAAACATCAACTCAAACACTTAAACATCGTAAAAAAATGTATAATAATTAACAGAGCAAGAAACATGGAAAAGTCAGTATAATAACACATGTTCGCTGAATAAATCAAGTATGGAGAAATGGTGATGACGTGAATCCTCTCCTTCATTGTTTCCTTATTTAGGCCTCCTTTGTGCTGCTGGACTTCATCTTCTCAACAGTTTCCTGTTTCCAAAACAATGAAAAGGATTGGACAAAAAAAGTGAGATATAGTGTACAATTTATTTAACACACTGGATTTATAATGATGTAAGGAAATGTTTGTAAAATCTTTGAAAAAAAAATCAAATGTAATGCTTTATTCATGAAAAGCAACATTGATTTGTAGCAATGTCCTTATGACTGAGTTCAGCTACACCTGGTCACCTCAAACTCGCAGCCAGTTTTGTTTACAAAAGCCTCATAAGCTGCCCTTCTGGAGTAGAGTGTACATGACCTTGCTGACTCAGCCATGGACTCAAGCCAGAGCCCTATAGTCCTACATAAATAAGCAAGCACACACACAAGAGCAGAAATGCCACCAAAACATTTTGACTGTAGAGGTTCCAGAAAGATTTTCAGAACTTGGTTCTAGAACTTCATTCCGAGGTTCTAGATCAGAATTCCTGGTCTAGAGCGGTTGTAGAGGCAGCACGTCTTTATGTGTTGTCCAGGAGGTTCCAGCACTTATTTTTAGACCACTGTTTGTTTCCTTAACACTGGCAGCATTATTCCTTTATGTTCTAAGTGATACCCAGACCTTTTTTAAGCATCAAGTGTTCTACCATTGTAATAGGCTATGTGGTTTAGAGAGCACTTCAACAAGACTCCAATTAAAGCAGCAGGGTGGATTTGGCGTTAGGGCTGCGAAACATATTACACGATAACAGTGACACTAATAAAACATTTATCTATTAATGACTATGAGTGGACAATTAACAGTTGACATGTTGAGTGACTTCTGACAAATGTAGTTAACATATCACATCATGTTAATGCTGCTATTTTGATTAAACTTAGTTTTATACATCTTTCAGTATTACTTAATCCACAATTATTTTTATTTTACGATTCTTACTTCTGTGTGGCATTGTTAAGAGATTGTGTCGTTGAATTTTCTATGGCACGGCTTTGTATTTTTACATTTCTAAATCCTTTAACTGGTTTCACTAATTCCTTCAAAGTATAATTCACTTTTAAGAATACCCAGCTATATATGTTTATGATCGTGAATCATTCACACAAAACCTTAGTTTAGGACATGCCTTCCACTTTACAATCTATATAATAAAATGAAAGGTTGATGATCATTGTAGCGGCCAAAATCCTATAGAACTAAAACAGCCGCTGAGGCACTAGTTAGCGGATCTTACGCAGGGCAATGATCATCCAAGTCCAGACAAGAACCTCCATTTGTGCATTTTATTCCAATAACAAAATGTTTTTTTATCAGGGTGTTTCAAGCCACACAAAGGAAAGCCATAGGAAAGGCTTAAGGAAGAGAGATATAGGAAACCTGTTCATTGTACTTTGTTATTGGAATAAAATGCACAAATGGAGATTCTTGTCTGGATTTGGATGATCATTGCCCTGCGTAAGATCCGCTAACTAGTGCCTCAGCGGCTGTATTAAGTTAATTATCTGTTTTAGATCTATATGATTTTGGCCGCTACAATCATTTTCTTTCTGCCATATTCCCTTTATTTCATATCCATGGCAAATTCGTAGTTTCATCGGCCTTATTTAGAAAACATCTCTTTATTTCCCAGCTTTTTCATTTATTGCTGCTCTTTAAAAGCCAAGATTCATAAAAGTGCTGATACCCTTGTTCACTGAACTGTGTAAGGTTGGTACAGTCACATACAAATGTACAACTACCAATTCTTATGTGAATTGTTTTTTGCTGGCTGAGCAGTTTGATTCAAATACTCTATGCCCTGGAACACATTGCAAGTAATGAAGGTTATATCCTGAAGGAATATCAAATAAGTCACTTGGGCTATGGCTCAATGTCAGGGATATTACATTGACCTTACATTACGTTTATTCCTATGAGCAGAGGGCAGTGATGGCGCTTTGAAAATACACATTGCAAGTTTTGACTTTGGCCAGGTGCTTTTTTCTGACTTATAATTTACGTGCCATATACACGATGAACACATTACATACTTTTTCTTGTTGACAGGGGTTTTCAGATAACAAAGACAGACCTGGTGCTTGTTGAGCTCGGCCACACGGAGGTTCCACTCCTCCTCAGTCATCTCCGCCCCAGCATCCAAAGACTCATCCACAGCTGCCGTTTTGTCTGCACAGATAACAAAATAGTCAAAAATGGCCACAAGGCTTTTTATTTCAATGTGTTTGTGTGTGATTAAAATTACCAAAAGAATAAATAGCATAAAGATCATGCACAGTGTTTGAACTCACCAGTGCAGGTCATAGCAGTGCAAACCCAGTTGCCGCATGCACAAACACATCGGTTACACTCGACCTGGGTCTCTGCTCCGTCCTCATATGTCTCATCCTCCAAGGCACATTCTGCAGAAAGACGCATGGCAAACTTATCAGCCAAAACTGCAGATAGTAGACTGCAGCAGAGTGATAATCGAAACAGCATTTAACTTTAATCAATTTGCATGGCCAAGACTTGTCAGCATTTAAAAATGCCACATCATCCATTCATCCAGTAGTTTCATTTGAAAGTTGTAGGCCTTTGGCATGTTTTTGCTTACTAATCAGTAGTCAGCGATGTGTGTGTGTGTGTGTGTGTGTGTGTGTGTGTGTGTGTGTGTGTGTGTGTGTGTGTGTGTGTGTGTGTGTGTGTGTGTGCGTGCGTGCGTGCGTGCGTGCGTGCGTGCGTGCGTGCGTGCGTGCGTGCGTGCGTGCGTGTGTGTGTGCGCGTGTGTGTGTGTGTGTGCGTTTCCTTGAGTCTGGTGAAGCTCCAGGGTTCAGTGCTCCATCCAGAATGTTATTTCTCTGACAGAGCCTCTGGTTCCTGTGAACTTTATCCCACATAAAGCTGCATCACATGACTGAGCAGACTGAAATCAAGACTTCAAGACTCCAGACTGCAAAAGAACCCAGCGATCTGGCAACCTCGAAAGTTGTGAAATGAGAACCGTAGCTAAAAAAAACAAGCAATTTGAGGCAGTTTGCCAATTGTCAGGACTGCCTAAGTGAGCTTATGTCAATGCATCCATAAACTATATCTAATGGTGTGTAACTCTTTGTTAAACTATGTCAAAGTACACAAGCTATCACTTTAAGCTCACTCTTCTCTGGTGGATTGAAGCCAGGCTTCAGGCAGTTGAGGAACTCATCAAAGCTCAGCTTCCAGTCGGCGTTGTCATCAGAGAGTTCAATGAGGGCATCAACACACAGGCTCCTGGGAAGCACAGATAAGCACGTTGTAAACATTGGATAAACATTAGCTCCTCCAGTGGCAGCACATTGCAAAACAAAGAAGCATACAGAAGAAAGAATAATGAGTGTTGTATCCCGCAGAGTACAGGTGTTTATTCCAGTGCAGGCTCCCACAGGAGGCCTTCAGTAAAGTTTAGCCTGGTTAGATAGAGTTCAATGATTTTCCCCTTCTAGCTTTAAATAGCACAGCCCCACACAGATATGGATCTGCATGTGCAAGCATTGCCACAGCGGAAAACTTTGACACAGTTTGGGTGGAACATTGCAAACAGTGGCAGTGTTTCATTTTCCCTGCCAACAACCACACTGACCTGAGCAGGTTGTTGCTCTCCTGGTCTGCGTAGGACTGCAGCTCCACAACAGAGTCATTTTGTCCGATGAATTTGAGCAGCTCTGAGGAGTCCAGCTGGGAATCACCATTGTCGTAAGACTGCAGAAACGTACAGAGAAACATGAGAGAGACAGTTAATGCTTTTGTACAGTAAATATGAACAATCAAACTAAATATTCACAATTAATATATTACTTATTGGTGTTTTTGATAAACACATCAGTCTAGGACACAGGTACATTTGCCATCACTGCCACAAAATGCAGCTAGAGAACACCAGATGCCATGACAATCTTCCTGTAAAGATGTGGTAAAGTCACTTTGTCATGAACACTTAAAGACTGCCTCTACTTACAGCCTGGATCTCTTTTGTGATATTTTAGAAATGAGGCTGGGACAGCAATGGGTGTTGGAGCATGAAAAACGATATCAATTAATTTTTTGGCATGTATCTTCATATAAATGCTCATCACATTAAATGAACACCAGGGCTGCATATTAACCCGAAGGCTCTGTTTTTATTGTCTGTGTAGGGCAACTTAACAAAGGGTTAGACCATGAGATGCTAAAGTTAGCTATAAATATACTCTCAAATTATGTAACGTATTGTTATGCTGGGACAAAAAAGAAAAAGAAATTAAGCGATTTGCACAAATTGTTCAAAGAACCATCTTCCCATTCTGCTTTAATGTCATTCATGTACTAAGAAGTAGAGGAAGGGCTCCAGCTGACATGCTTGAAAGGTCTGCTACATAAACAATTAGACAGAGTCGGAGGCGGCTCTAAGGAGAAGAGGGTTTGGAGAATGTCCACATGAATATATAAACTTGGGAACAATTGTGTGCACTAATTGAAACTGGGTTCATTCTGTCCTGTACAGAGAGAAAAAGCCAACCTTGAAGTACTTGAGCAGGATGTCAGAGAAGTTGGATCCCTTGGCAAACCATCCGTCTGGGACCACCTCAGTCTGCAGCCACTGGATCACACGACCCCTCAGCTCATTGCGGTCAGCAGCATAGCAAACCACTGCAGGGGAGGGAAGATTTCCATAGGTCAGCAGCATTAATGAATAATCCAAAGGGCAACATTTATCTGGTAAGCTATCATGTTTCCATTAGTGCATACATCAGAAGTTCCATATTAATCAAGTGCTTTCCATTAGACTGTAAAATATAGTTATTGCACAGACATAGTGAACATACCCATAACCCACCTGGGAAACATGGACTTAATCAAAACACAAAAGAGGCACACTAATAAAAAATCATTTAATTTGATTTTTGTTTTTTACGTGGCTAATATACAATATACTAATACAAAAACTCACCTGGGCTGGCAGCGGCCTTTTCTGTTTTCTTCTCTAAAACAACAGAGAAAGACAAGAACATTTAAAACAAAAACATGCATTGACTTGATTCAGAATAATGGAGATAAACTTGGTTGCGACTGAGAATTAGGCCAACGGTCTGCATAGAGTACAGCGTGATGTAACTATTTTCCCTAAATACTTTTTCTGCCACAGCACTGATCAATGTCAAGTTCAGCGGGGACAAAGTGTCATATCACCCAGTGACAGTGGTTAAAGTTCACTCAAGATAAGATGCTAATATTACATTATTTCAGAGATAAGTCAAGGCCAGGAGTCAGCAGGGACATGTGGATGGCCCTATATTGTTCACTAGCCACCCGATCACTTCAGGTATCAAGTCCATGAAAAAATGGCTGCTTCTGAGATCACACACTAATCCGTTCAATTAACTCCTAACAGTATGATCAGCACCTCCTCTACCAATTAACAGATGAGCCATCCACTGAGATAAATGTAACATTTGTGATATTAGGCTATATAAATAAACATTGATTGATTTATTGATGATTGATGAGCCAAATGCTGTCGAATGTTAAAGATACAAAGCAGGCTTTTAGTTAATATTTGAGATTCTCAAGTGTGTGTGGTTGATTAAAATGGCGGCTCCGTTGTTTAGGGTGAGTATGAAGTCATGTTGGGATAATAAAATTAGGAGCTTAGGGGTCCAAATTGGGCGAATGCTCAAATAACAAAACAATAACAAGGTTAGATTTATATTTGAGCTTCTACCCTCAGTTGACTTCCCACATATCCCTGTAATAACATTACATGTTATTAGTTTCAGGAGTCCCTGGACTCATATTTTACGACAGATTACTTTCTGATTGGGTTATATGCAGTGAGGAATATTACATTTATAAAACCAGAGCATTGGTATTGGATCATTGAGGGCATCAGCAGGTTATCAGGTGCAAAGACTTTGATCGCTACATCTTTACTCAGTAACACCATGACATGCTAACCATTGAAGTGTTATTGTTGGGTTATGTATCTATCACACTGATTCAAACAATGTCAGTAATTAATTAGAAAGCATGAACAGGGTAAAGGGTACAGCTACCACATTCAGTTTTTCAATAGCACGATAGCTAGAGGAACGTTTCTCAAGGGTTCAACGTAGCTAAAGCAAAACGTAGCACAGGAAAAAATGTTGGAATATGGTTTAAAAAAGACCCCCTCTGCTTCCATCATACTCCGAATTGGCACCAGGTAGAAAAAGCACCCTTGACTATCAGAACACTTAATGGCCCTTGATAAGAACATACCGTACTTGTAATATTCAATGATAACATTTTTACAGTTTTAACCTCACTCAGAGGTGTAATTTATTGGGATAGTAATAGAGACATTTGATAAAGCAGTTGATGATGCTAAGGTTGGCTTAAAACCTATGTAACAATTATCACATGCCAAAACAGAAATCATAAGTCATTTTATAATGCATTTTATGAAGCATGGGCATCATAGATTATGTGACTCAAACTTTCAATGTTAACTTGTTGTTGAAGTTGTTAAAGATCAACAGGGACGTTTTAGTTCACCAACCATGGCAGTGTCCATCGTGGGCCACCTGGACCTTCAAGCCAGTCAGACAGGCATCCCTGTGGAGCTCACAGTGATTCCTGTAGGTCTTAGAATTACTGCCACACACTGACCTCTTGTGGGGCTTACAGCTCTGCAAAGACATGGGGAGAGAATACAGCTGAAAACTAGGGGAATAGGTATTTTTGAAAGGTTACCACTTTTTCATTGTGTTGAAGTAATGTCCCCTGGTCTCTACAGAGTCACATACTGTATGTAATACTCACCTCTATACACAGACAGCTGGGCTCCCCTTTCTCTGTGACAGCACACTCTCTGCCAGCCCCACAGAATACATTAGCACACACCTTGCTCTTGCTCTGCAGCTCCTGAAAGAAAGGAAACAAATTCAAAGTTGTTATTAATTACTAGGCACTTTATAAACAGTATTGATTTTTACAGATTTCACACACAGGGCGGCGCTGTTGCCCAATTAAATTAACATACACATTTATAGGCATCGGGAAGTTGCCAACCACATTTTAAACATGTACTAACCACAAAGTTTCACATTGAACCATCAAACTTCCTCACAGACGTATACATTGACCGTTTCCTCTTCACTCTGTTAACCAGTATCGTATCTCTTCCTTGAATACATCCGGAAATGAAGAGGCTCTCTGGTTTAATATTTCCCCTTTTTTCTGTTTGTTAATGAGAAAGATATTCCTATAGAATACAATTCCTCTTAAAATTGCTCACAATGGACAATGACATTTGAAGAGCAGCTCCTGAAACAGGAAATGTAACATTCAACTATGCACGTACTGTATCCTCACACACACCAACACGCAGCTGCTATACAGATAAATAATGGTCATTAAAGGAAGATGAAAAATAACTAGTAAAACTAAGTAACATTAAATATACGTATCAAAAACAAATAAGTTAATTCATATTATAAATCTTTGATTTTAAAATGTCTATTTTTCCATGAAATTCGTTTTTTTCCCAACAATTTTTATACAGCCAAAAAGAAGCCAAATAGCCAAAAAAAAACTGTAAGTGTTGTCTTTTCTTCTCAACACTTCATTTTAGCAAACACATCCAAAGACACTAATCAACTCTGCTATCCTGAAAAAAATGACACCATTTCCCCTTTAGGAGGCGCTACCTCACCAATATGGTAAATTCAAATGGTCATTACTTTAGGGTTATTCTTCTGACTCACTTGGAAACACAATTCACCTACTTTCAAATACCTTATACAGTATGCTGTTGATGATTAAGACATTCATAACAAAATACAGCTGCAGCGATGACAACATATCTCAGTTTGAGGTATTGGAGACAAACTGAAGACAGAATGAGAGGCAAGCAGGATGAGACTTCACATGCGTCAGTTAAACTTTTATTTTCGAAAACATAGTCAGTCTAATTTTCTCTTGTTGACGCTTGCCTTTGTTTCCTTGTCTTTTGTTTGTTTATTGAATATCACCAGAGGACTTGCTAAAAAATGAGTTCACTAGAGCTAAAAATCCAACCAATCACAAGACGCCAAGCAAGCGGAGGTCCTAGAGCTGCTTTATGACCCTCATTACTTCTCCCTTACCCTATCTGTGTGTATTTGTATTTGTATAAGTGTGTGTGGGGGTTTGTGTTTGCCTGTGTACAGGGTGTTTCCACATCTGGAGTCTGAGCTGTGTTTTCCTTTGGGCCCATTCCCATGCTCAGTGAAATCTTTTCTCCTCCCTGTTTCTCTAGACTCCCCTCCTCCTCTTTAAGCTGCTGTTTCCTGCAAAAGCGAGACAGAAAGTTGGCCCTCCATGTGTAAGTGCACGTGAGCTGGCTTCCAAGCTGCTGTGTGTGTTTGTCCAAAGTCTGGTATGTAGGTGAACCTGGAGCTGGATTTCTGTGACCAAACTCTCATAAGCTCACTAATGAAAGAATATAACAAGATGGATGCTGGGAGAGGGGCGGCAGTCACATGCATGTGTTGCAGTGCAGCAGCGTTAACCCTGAATTGGTCTGAGGAGAGGGATCGTAGGGTTTTGCTTCATTTCTATGCATACTTTTAGAGACACGCACATATTTGCACTCAGGAGTTGAGGTCATGGAAAATCTTCAAAGCGATCCCTATGGCTTTGAGCATGTTGGACAATTCCGTTTGTTAGACACAGCTGGGCGAGAAGCTTGTTGAAACCTGTAGAAACCTTCGATGAGATCATGAATAATGGATGGGCGGCTTAGATAAAGCTGGTGTAAACGTAGAGCTCTGACCATCTCTATAACCAGCAGAGGAAGCGTTTCTGAAGTGGTTTGTTGCTATGGTGAAAGCATGTTCAGGTTCCTGTTTTGGAAAGATCACAGAGGTGTCAATCAAAAGAGGCAAATGGAACCAAGTCCCTTAGTTATATCACAGCAGAGTGTGTTCAGGATTTATTATTGACACAGACTGTACAAAAACAATGGACAATCGACTGTAATGTCACCAAACCACTCTTCAACACACCAGGGAAGGGAGGCTGCCTTATGTGGACATAAATCATGCCTGCATGGAGCCTTCATTGTTGCTATGAACTGGAGCGGGCAGACATGCATCATCATCAAGTACGGTTGTTGTCCTTGTTTTGGCTCCTAACCTTGCCTTGGTCACAATTCAAGGCTTACATAGAACCCGGACAATATTTATCTCCCTGTGTGACTCTAAATCTGTCATATTCAGCTATTTAGTTTGAGTTATATTTGATAAAAATGCACATATTTTCTGGTTTCAATACTCTTCTTTGATAGAAAAAGGTTATATCATTGAGTTGTTGACATTAGAACAACATTGAGGACATCCTTTCGGGCTTTGGAAACAATGACCATGGATTTCCTAATTCTTACATTTTATAGAACAAACAACTTATCCATTAATCAAGAGCGAAAATAGCCGTTTGTTGTACCCGTATTTAGGATTAAGAGTTTCAGAATTGAGGCTTTTAAACTCCACTCCTGCACACATTGCATACATTGATAAGGTGTTAAAGCATGACAGTATCCTGGCTTTCTACCACAGTAACAGATGGCAAATTCAGGTGTCTCTCGACCAAGGTAATTTGTGTTTCAGAAACCAAGATTAAGACCATAATGTCAACATGCTGAAACACAACCAGTATTCTCTGCAGACCCCACCATGGGTGGATGCTACAGCGTATGCAACACACTCATTAACCTAATCACCATCAGAGCAAACATAACCATTTTTTCTCTACAACTCAGCACAAAAAATAACAAACACACCCGCTGTTTGTGTCCTACTAAAATGACATACATTTTTCATTATAGCCAACAAATGATGCAATATTTTCCTTCACATTAAAAACCAAACACTGGAGCTATAGCTCAGGTACGTGACTGGTGAGTCATAACAGATTAAACAGAGGCGTTAATACAGAGAGCTGCCTCAAGCATTAAACTGATTGCATATACAGTGTACACATTTCACAGCTCATTTTCCTCTGTCCCTTTTCTTCCATTTCTTTGTGTTTTAATCTTTTAGTCAAGAGGTTACAATTATTTAAAGGTTTGAAGAAGATAAAAAGATGAGTGATATTTCTCAAAACCCTCAAGTGCATATTTAATCTTCCTAACTCTGCGTGGTGCCTTACAATTCAAGTCGAGTATACTTTTATTTCTACTCTGCGGTAGCTCTCTCTGTCATGTCATCTCACTCTCAGTACCGTGCCCTTTTTTAGGCTCCAAGAGACATGTCAGTGATCCGAGACCAGTTTTGCAGGGCTGGATATGAAAGAGAGGAAGAAGAGGATGAAGAGGCTTTAAATAAAGTCTGAAGAAACAGGTAGCTGGTGAAGATAAAAGACGAAAGGCAGGAGATTGTGTGCGCTCTAAAGTCAATTTTGGCGTCATGCTAAGGCCGACTGCAGTTGAAAGCAATATATTTCCGCTTCATTAAAAAAAAAAAAAAGCCTATTTCATTATTCACTGCTGATAAGGCCGAACAGCAAGGCTAAACCTGCCCCCACTAACACATGAAAAACACATTAAAACCTCGTTCTGCATGTCTTTCAGCTGTACATGCACAACCGTATGAGAAATGAAGCCTATCCGCCATTTACTGCATGTTTTGTGCATATGTGTTTGTGTGTCACTGTGTGTGCGAGTGTGCATATTGGTGTGTATCTCGGTGACGCTCCATTGATTTAGCCGGCGATTCGATGCTTCTCTCCCATGGGTGTCACTTTAGAGACACGGTGAATCCATTCCCACAGTGCACCCTGCCCCCTCATTAACATAGCGAACATTGATTTACGGATTGTAAACAACCTTCCCTGGATGAGCCTGCGTGGATAAACAGCCTACTGGACATAACTTTTAAAAAACAATACTTAACTTTAATTATTAAATACCGCAATTAAACCTTGTGTTGGTAATTATAAAACAGTATGACTTTCTGTAGCAATCAAGATCAGTTTAATCAGCTTGATTGGTGTATTGAGCACACAGAGCTTCACTTAATGCAATCCAATACAACAGCCCAGCAGTAAACACTGTTCATATTGAGCTTTCCCAACACTGTTTGAGACGTTGATTCAGCGCTTGGCTCATTGTGGAGGTTTTACTTTCCTGGGCTGTAGAATTATAACACATCACAGCAAAGGTGAAAGGTTGTTCGGCTTTAGCAGCATGCATCAGCTTCTCTATGTGATGTTTCCATTATAGCTGAATATAATAAGCTGCAGAAAGATAGGATTTGTTCTGTTTTTTTACGAGATGTATTGCATGAAGCTAGATGTAAGCGTAAACCTCAAAGATACAAACGTTCGACAAAAATGTTCCTCTTTCCCCTACGGTACAGTAAGCCTGGTGAGTGTCTTTATGAATAAAATATTAAGCTTTTGACAACTTGAAATGTTAAAATAAAATCATCTCAGAATGGTGAAAGAATATGGGAGATTAATGTGGTTTTTATTCACTCTAGTCACTAATATGAATTACTAATCTATATGCCACACTAGAAAAAATGCTGCCCAAAAAACAAGAAAAGAATAAATGATTACAAGATTTAAAAATAGTTGAGATGCTTTTTCGGCATCTTACTCCCAAAAACTTAAAGTTATTCTTCGACTGAAAGTATATTTCAGAACTCACAATGAAGATGACAGGAGCCGCTGAGACAGTTAATTCATAGCAGACATTAAAGCTTCCATCTGTGTGCTGTCTCAATTAAAATGTTTAGCTGCTATTAATTAAAAGTTAGGCTTAAAACATACTTCTAACAATAATTATTATGTAGAACAATTTATATTATATGGTTGTTTTTAGAACAAAATGGATATTTGGTACATATGAAGGAATTAAAGGAGAAGTTCGACATTTTGAAAGATACACTTTATCAATTTTTTTGTCGAAAGTAAAGAGGATAAATTCCACTCATGTATATTAATATGAATCTCCAGCTAGCAGCAGATTAGCTTAGCATAAAGACTTGAAAAAGGGAAATCAGCTAGCCTGTCTCAACGAAGAAACCTCCAAAGTCAATGAACAAGATTGAAAGAAAATAAAAAACGCCAAGTCGTAGGAACTATTTCTTTTAAATTGTGTTCGGTTTGTTCAGAGTATTTACAAGTATAAAAAGTTAAAGTGTGAATCTTGATGTAACTTTATTCAGTTTATTTCCAGACTAAAATGACTTTATTTCCTATATCATGTAGGCCTACTTCACTGCCAACAAATTGTCTCAGACGGACGGACAAATGCACGCACGGCCAGGCAATGCAACCCACTGTTTGATAAGCCTGTTTTCAGTAGGAGAAACAATGAAGGTGGAAAAAAAGATGAAGCAAGGTGAAGGACAGGATTAGAGGTAGGGGGTGTACATTCCTGAGCTTTGTTTAACCTCAGCTGGAGTCCGACAGAGTTCGTCTTGAACCAAAATCTCCTCAGTATCTAGGTCAGAGAGGTGCCGGCTCTCCCCCTTCCTCTTCCCTCTGTCTCAGATTGTCCAGCTCTGTCAGTACATGAGACCATGCCGGGAGCAACGAGAAGGCAGGGGGGGGGCTCCACTGCGCCTCCCTCTCACTTCTCTTCCCCTCGAACCAGAAGAGAAGTGGAGCACAGCCAAAGCAGAATAAGAACCACTCGTACACTAACTACAAACCACGAGGAATTTAAACAAGCTTGTGACTTAATCCATCCCACAGGGGAGAAATATAACAGACGATCATTGGTTCCAGTTTTTAAAAGCTATAGAATTTCCCATCAATAATTCAAGTGACTTCATTCTCAAATGACAAGCATTTTCTTCCATTTTAAACCATTCAACTGTATCTTTGTATATACCAAATCAGGTTTAAGCCTCATTGCTTTCGTACTTCACAGCCTCCTGAGATCAGAAATACTCACTCAACCCCCAACAACAACACAATAATGAGGCCAAAGTGAGAGTACTTTCAGTGTGTACTAAAGATATGAGAAGTACAAGTGGTCTCGAATGCTTTACGGTGGACCAGGTCTGAGATGCAGAAACAAAGGGACTCTGTGAAACGACCAGTATACACGCAGATCTGCCTGTTATCCTTCTCCCTGTTTCTTATTCAGTGTGAAAGGAATGCACCAACGGACAGGATGATGTCACCCAGTCTGCAGCCTCTTATTTTACACCCACAGGCCCCGTTGTTCAAGAGCTGAAATGTAACAACTACACCCTGAAAGAAAGAAGAAGA